ATATTCATGTGCAATATTATTATTAATTTGCATAAATATTATTCATGTGCATTAATATTATTTTTGTGAATTAAAATATTCATGAGTATTATTATTTTTATATGCATTATTATTATTCATATGCATTAATATTATGATTCATGTGCATTAATATTACTTATATGCATTATTATTATTTATGTGCATTCATATTTTTATAGGCATTAATATTATTCATGTGCACTAATATTATTTGTGTGCATTAATATTATTCATAGGCATTAATATTATTTTACTGCATTAATTATTCATGTGCAATAACACTATTCTTGTGCATTTTTATTAGTTATGGACATTAATTATTCTTTTGCACTAATATTATTTATTGATTCATTTATTTATTCATTCATTCATTAATTTTCTTTGCGGCTTAGTCCCATTATTAATCTGGGCCACAGCGGAATGAACCGCCAAATTATCCAGCACATGTTTTTACGGATGCCCTTCCAGCTGCAACCCATCTCTGGGAAACATCCACACACACACACTCATTTACACTCATACACTACAGATAATTTCGCCTACCCAATTCCCCTATAGCGCATGTGTTTGGACTGTGGGGGAAACCGGAGCACCCGGAGGAAACCCACACCGACACGGGGAGAACATGCAAACTCCACACAGAAACGCTAACCGACCCAGAACCAGAGATCTTCTTGCTGTGAAGTGACAGCACTACCTACTGTGCCACTGCGTCGCCCTAATATTAGTCATGTGTATTAATTGTTCATATGCACTAATATTATTCATATGCATCCTTGTTATTAAAGTACATTAATATTATTATTCATGAGCGTTAATTATTCATATGCATTAATATTATTTATGTGCATTAATAGTTCACATTCATTAATATTATTCATCTTCACCAATATTATTCTTGTGGAAGAATAAATGCAAAATAATAAGCTAATTGTTTTTAACATGAATTCTAATTATTACTAATAATAATAATACAAGTGGTAATAAATTTTTTTTTAAATAATAATAATAATAATAATAATTATTATTATTATTATAATTATTATAATAATAATAATAATAATAATTATTATTATTCCATTTAAATAATACATTTAAATAAAATGCTCATTTGTATCATTTAGTTGAATCAATTAATTAAATGTGTTATTTGCTTTCAAGAATGCATTTAATTATTCAGTTATGTATTTTATTTGATAGTTTTTTAAATGCACATGTGTAACTGCATATTGTGTACCTTATTTTCTAATGTAATCTTATTTTTGTATTTTAATTTTAAGCATGACAGTTAGTTTTGCTTATGAATTAAAAATAAAAATTTTAGTTGTTATCCACAAATTAAATATTCTGGGGTAAAGATTTGTAATTTCATATGTTTTCTTAAAACATCTTATTTCCTCCAACAGGTGAAAGAATTTTACCGCTCATGCATAAACATCAAAGAAATCGACCGTCTGGGGGCGGGGCCTATGACCGAGGTGATTGACAGCTGCGGTGGGTGGGATCTGTCTGGAGCTCCTCCTGGAGGGGCGGGGTGGGACAGTGGCTCCGCCCCCATCAGGCCAGATTTTAATGAGATGCTGTATAAGACGCAGGGAGTTTACAGCACATCTGTGTTCTTCTCTCTTACCGTCAGCGTAGACGACAAAAACTCTTCACGCAACGCCATACGGGTGAGAGAACACACTTCTGACTGTGTTTATTACAATATTGTTATCAGTGTTGCGGGTAATGCATTACAAATAATGTAGGTTATGTAATCACAGTACTTTTTTTACAAGAAATGACAAGAAATGAGTTACTTTTTCAAATACATCATGGCAAATACTTTGATAGTCATTTAATCACAGTCAGTGTTTGGACTTCTTGTAATACAATTTCTTGATATAGAAAATAACCAATAGGAGCAATTCTTATCATAATAAAGTAATTTGGCCTTTAAAAAAGGTGTTTGTATGTAACTGTCAAGGCAATGTAAGCTACATTATTGGGTCATTTATTACTATAGGTGTTGTTGTTGTTACCATGGCAACTTTAGAATCACCAAAACAGATCAGTTACTATTGTTGTTACCATGGCAACTATAGAATTGACACAACAGATTAATTTATGGAGTTGTTCTGTTACCAAAGCAACTTTAGAATCACAGTGACAGATCAGTTACTACAATTGTTGTGTTATCATAGCAACTGTAGAATCACCACAACACGTCAGTTACTATAAATGTTGTTACCATAGCAACTATAGAATCACCACATATAAATTACTATATAGTTGTTTTGTTACCATAGCAACTGTAGAACCACCACAACAGGTCAATAACTTTATTAGTTGTGTTACCATAGCAACTATAAAAATCACCACAACAAATCAATTACTATAATTGTTGTGTTACTATAGCAACTATAGAATCACCAAAGCATATTAATTACTGTAGTTGTTGTGTTACCATAGCAACTGTAGAATCACCACAACAAATCAATTACTTCAGTTGTTGTGTTACTATAGCCACTATAAAATCACCACAACAGCAAAATTACTTTAATTGTTATGTTACCATAGCAACTTCAGAATCGCCACAACATATCAATTACTATATAGTTGTTCTGTTACCATAGCAACTGTAGAATCGACACAACATGTCAATAACTTTATTAGTTGTGTTACCATAGCAACTATAAAAATCACCACAACAATTCAATTACTATAATTGTTGTGTTACTATAGCAACTATAGAATCACCGAAGCATATTAATTACTGTAGTTGTTGTGTTACCATAGCAACTGTAGAATCACCACAACAAATCAATTACTTCAGTTGTTGTGTTACTATAGCAACTATAAAATCACCACAACAGCAAAATTACTTTAATTGTCATGTTACCATAGCAACTTCAGAATCGCCACAACAGATCAATTACTATATAGTTGTTCTGTTACCATAGCAACAATAGAATCACCACAACAGATCAATTACCATAGTTGTTGTGTTACCATAGCAACTATAGAATAACCAAAACAGATCAATAGCTTCATTGGTTGTGTTATCATAGCAACTATAATATTAGCAAAACAAATCAATTACTATAGCTGTTGTGTTACCATAGCAACTGTTGAATCACCACAATATTTTCACGTGGGCCACTTTATTAAAGAAGCAGCACAATATTGTAATGCTTTTTATAAGCCACTTTTCCCAACACTGAATATGTCATCCAGCATGTGTGTGTGACAGATCGTGTGTGTGTGTGTGTGTGTGTTTGCAGATTGATCAGGAGGGTCTGACTCTTCCAGAAAGAACTCTGTATCTTGGACAAGATGAAGACAGTGTGAAGGTGAAGCTCTCCATCGTCATCATCATCATCTCTCCATATGCACTTCTGTTCTTCATCCATCCGTCTGTCCGTCTGTCTGGCTGCCATCTGTCGCTCTCGCTGTGATCACATGGCTAATTGATGGTGTCACAGCTGGTGATGATGTCACAGACGAGCTGCTGGCTCTTAATAATGAGGTCACAGCGGTGGCTCCGTCACGCTTCATGACATCAGAGCCTCAGCACAATGCAGCTACTAATCTGAATCGACAAATCCACAAAATCCCACTGAGAGATCCAGGAGCGTGAACAAAACACGTCCAGGTCACAGTTACTACCACGTTTTCTCAATCCTAAATTGATCATCTTACCGCTTTTGTCAGAGCTCATATTTAATGTTGCTGGCCCATGCAGTGGAGGGTAACCCATCATAACTCATGCATGAAAGTTTCATTTATAACTGTTTAATTTAATTTATAATTCATAACTCATGCACTTAGTTTAAATTTGAATTAGATTCAACTTTATTGTTGTCACACATGTGCAAGTTTAAGACAACAAGAGTGCAGTTTAGGTCTAATCAGGAGCGCAACAGCAGCAAGCGCAAGTTATGCAATGATAGAAAACCAGCAAATTATAGAAGATTATTATTATATAACTTACATTTTACTCACAGCTCAAGAAATACTCATGCAATAAAGGGCTCTATTTTGACGGTGCAAAGCGCAAGGCGCAAACGCGTTCAGGGCGTGTCAGAATCCACTTTTCTAATATAAGGACGGGAAAATCCGCTTTGCGCCGTGGCACATGGTTTAAAAGGGTTGAGCTTATTCTCTTAATGAGTTATAGGTGTGTTCTGAGAATAAACCAATCAGAGTCTCATCTCCCATTCCCTTTAAGATCCAGCTGCCTCGCGCCATAAGCACATTTGCTATTTACATGACGACTTTGTAAGTGGAAAAACTGAATGCTTCACTAAAGAGAAAACAGTTAAACAGAGCATCTGCAGCAAGAGAATGAGAGAAACATTATTAACTTTCACTTTTGCTCTCGTGGATAGGGAAACCTTGTATGCACAGACATCAATTTGCCTATAAATAATTAATTTTGTTTGTTAAGCTCATATATATGTTTTAAAACAATTTCTAAATTCAGTTCTAATTTCCAGCAAACGAATAAATGAACAATAATAATGAAGTGTGCTCAAAATACTGAGTTATATCCTAATACACCTGCTCTGCCCCATATGGTCTAAAACCTGACAGGTGGACAAATCTAAGCTTGTTTTTAATAAAACAAATATAAATATAGATATAATAAATAATACTGCTAATAACCGAAAAAGCCTCCCGAGATGAAGAAGGCATGAACGCAGTTGTTTTATATTTATGTAGGCTAGAAAATAACATGTTTTGTAATATTTTAATCCTTTATATTCATATCCTTTATATATCCTTAATATTTAAATTATTTTTTATATGTGAGGATATTTGCGTATTGCTCTACATCTTGTGTGTATTAAGCAGTGTGTAAGCGAGACGCATAACCAGGGCCGGACGGAATCTGCGGACGTTTTTTGCTATTTCTGCTGAGAATTTTAGTAAAAATCTGCGGATTTCTGCGGAATTATTTTGGGAGTATCCAGCGGAGTATCATAACTTACACCTTAATATATTAAATAAAAAGTAATAAATTACTGAATAAAAACTGAATAAATTCAGATTTACACATTTACTCAAGTAAATAAACAGAATTAATAATGGGCTTAAAATCTGCATAAATCTGCAAAAAATCTGCAGAATTCTGTGCGCGCAGATTCCGTGTGGGCCTACGCATAACTAACGCGCTCTGCGCTGGACAATAGACCGGCTTTGTTTTGCTCTAAAGAACAGACTATTACTGTCTGGGTTGGTGAGGGGAAATGGGGAAAAAGGAGCGAGGACTCAAGTGCAGGAAAATGGGGAATTTATTAAATAATAAACATAAAATAAAATGCAAAATAAACTACCCCGAGGGGGAAAACATTAACAAAACAAATACATACACAAACAAACTTCACTGGGCTGGCTGGTAAGGAACAGGACTGGAAACATGACAAGACAAGGGTTCAAACAACAACATGTGATGACGAACTGGCACAGGACAGCAAAAGTGAGGGGTATATAAACTGTAGAAAATTAACACACAAACAGGTGAACACAATTAACTAATAATGGGTTAACAAGGAGGGTGGGACAAGACAATAGACGGGAGAGCGCATGACACAGAGAGACAACACAAGCCATGCGCTCACTTAACAGGACAAGAACATGCAGCCAATGAGAGAACTCATTAACCGCATGTTCATGACAACAAACACAACACTGAAGCACACGACAAAAGCACGTGACCACAATGTAAACACCGAGCCACGTGCTTTGACAAGAGACGCAAGACACGACAAGTGGTGCTCGCTGCAGAGCCATTTGGGCGAGCTGAGCTCCNNGGAGGGGGAGCTTAAGCTTGAGCTCCACCTTTTTTGCACCTCTTCTACGAGTGATGTCACTGGGGGTAGGGTTAGGGGTGGGGTTGGTGTACGCATTAAAACAGCTTACAGGAGGAGGAGCGACAGCTCATGCTCCCCCTCGCTGGAGCTCAGCTCTCCTCAAATGGCTCTGCAGCAA